AAATTTGAAACAGAGGAAGAACAGGTTAAAGAATGTATAATAAAGTGGGCTAAGAATTTTGTTTATAATATACAGATGGATCAGTGGGAAAATTTGGTTAAAAGGTTGAAATTTACATTGTGTTATGATCTCAAAGAGAATTTTTATAAAATTATGTATCGTTAGTACATAATGCCAGAGAAATTATCTGGAATGTATAAAGGCACTTCAAATGTATGTTGGAAATGTGAACAGCATCAAGGGACATTTTTATCATGCTTGGTGGACGTGTAAAAAAGCTAAAAAAATGGATTCAAATACATACTTTGACTCAGAGGATTTTAAAGATCAGTACTAGGATTAATGGACAGTTAGAAAAAAGCCATGAAAGATTATTTCAATATATGATTACTGCAGTGAGATTACTATGTGCACAGAGATGGAAAGGTTCATCACTACCCACTATGGAGGAATGGTTGCTGAAGTTGACAGATTTTGCTGAAATAGATAAATTGACTTATTTGATTAGAGAAAAGACGCTGTCTCCATTTATTGGTGACTGGAAGCCTCTTATGGACATTTTGCGTAAAAATTAAAAAAAAATGAACGTGATTTACAGCTTTGATGATTAGACAAGATAGATTATAGGAAGAATAATATGATGTAATATGATGAGGTAGAGAGAGGTTAAAATATATTTGTACTTATAACTGCTGCAAAGAATATCGGAAGCCACATCTTTGTATCTTCCTTTCTTTCTTTTCTATTTTTCCTCAACTTTTTTTCTTTTCTTGCACTCTTTGCTTTTTCCTTTTTCTTCCTTACTTTACATTAGTTTGTGTTAGTTTTTATCTTCTTAAATTATATATTAAAAAAACCACTCGAGGCTCTGGCTACGATCAGCCGCTCTCATCACTGGAGCTGCCACTCCACGCAGCTGTCTCAGGGTTTGCCTGCCTGAAGGGCAGGGCTGCGCCTGGCTCCTCTGTGGTGTCCAGCTACCAAAGGACCAGGCGTACGTCTGCAAGCCCAGGTGACACTACAGCAGATAACCAGCTGTCGTTGGTTGTACTACCCACGCCGCTGGAAGTGTATTTCAGGGGCTAGAACATTTACTCACGTGGTTTGGACTTGTCCCCTTATTGCCAAATGTTGGGGTGAAATCCACAGGACTATTTACCTGGGTTTATGGCAAGTCAGAAATGCCAGCCTTCTTCTTGGCTATTTCTTCAGTATTTGGAATCTATCAAGAATTGTGAACTTTTCACAAACGGCAGGGCCCCAAAGTATTAACATTAATAACTGGAAGGATAAATGTACACTTAATGCGGAATGTTTAATTGCTAGTATAGATTGCGTATTAATATTCAAGTTACTGCTTTTACGAACAAGCTAAACAACAGACTTTTGAGGAATTTGATCAGTGAGGGTGGAGGGTGGTGTTTTGTTTATGATTTAATTTTCCAGGGTTTATGTGGAATGGGTCCCAGTGCAGTGGGCTTTAGCCAGCATAACCAGCGTTGGCCAGGACGGACCTTGCAATGCAGCATCGGGAGGATTATGCACTGGCCGTTTTCGGCTCGGGGGAGCGTCAGCACTAGGGCTGTATTTTAGGAGCTCAAATGCTACAACCAACATTTATCTGTCTTTTCCTGTACCAGAATCTGAAGACTGACCTTTAAAGAAATCTCAGTTCTCCCAAAATAAGTAGATGGATTATGAATTAGGACTCCAGCCAAGACTTTTGTTCGTGACCTAACTGAAAACACCAGAGTAACACCTGGAGTTATTCTGTGGTTAAAGGTTGATAAATGTATAAGCCAATAAAGAAAGAATTGGCTTTAATAATGGAACTTATAAACAAATCAGGAGCAAGATGGAAGATGGCTGTGGCAAGTGTTCAGAGCTGTGATCAATTGCATACGTCCTCCAGCTCTACAGATCTGCAAAACCTGCTGTTCCTACTTGCCCAACTGCTGTCCCCAGCTGGTCTGAACTCTTCCCACACACGTTGACTTGTCATGTGGTGGTTGGAGTCAAGGACTGCGCACATTCATGCAGGATGTGCACCAGCAGCTGACAGCTAGCTGCATCAGTGACTGCCTCTACACGAACACAGGCGGGGAAGGGGAGCCCTTGCAGACTTGATGCGTGGCTAGCAGGAATGGCTGGGGCCTCCCTGTGGGGCTTCTGGACACAAAAGGTCTACTCATTTGGACATGGCCAGCACGTGACTGGCGGTAGCCCACCCCAGGCCCACTTCCGGTAACCCTCTGGTTTCTCTCACCAAGGTATTTTGGTGCAAGCTACAAACCCATCACTTCTTCAAACAACGTATGCAAAACATGATGTAATTATGGTGTGCGGTTTGCTGACGACAGCTGATTTGCAGCCTTGTTAGTATTAAAGCCAAAGATAAGTCCGACCTCCGGTGATGGTTTCCAAACTGGCAGATAGCCCAACCTTTAACCCATGACCAGCTGGCGGAATCAAGAGCCAAACAGCTGTGACCCCTTTTAACTCAGCATGGTGAACACGCCCAGGTTTGGCCGCACGCGTTGTATGCAAAGAACCCTTCTCCTAGTGTCTTGGAAGCAAGCCCTCTGCCCTCCTCCTCCGTGAGCCCTTGGTGGCTACTCAGGAAGTAGTGCCTATCAAGAAAACCGAAGGGGGTGGCGTCAGGACGCCAAGGCAGCCAGAAACGCTCAGTCCCAAAACACCGCCTGTGTTTTCCTTCCCCAGGCGCAGGCCTAACAGTAACACCGCAGGAAGAAATGGCAAAGTTTTATTGAAAAGGGCAACATGACATCAAAAAAAACGGAGCGCATACATACACAACTAATGCCGTTCTTGCCATCTTGTGATGGCAAGCTCAGCCTCCAACTCCAACACACGAATCCCATTGGCTCGGCACGTGCCTCAAGGCCTAGGTGGGCGCATGCCAGGAGGAGGGGGACCTGAAAACAAAAGTCACAAATGACAATTACGTGCAGCCGCAAGGACGCTGCAGCACTACTAGGCAATTCATTTTGGCCCTGGCTATGGCGACCTCCTTTCACACTCGGCCAAAGAATGAGGCAGCTATGACAGCTCACCTCAGAATCCAACTCTCCTTCACCAAATGCTACTCACCTCTCATGCCAGGAGGAGGCGGCCTCATTCCAGGAGGCGGCATCCCCATTGGTGAGCCACGACCTGGCGGCATACCCATAGGAGGGCCCATGGGTGGTCTCATACCAGGAGGGGGCCCCATCATTCCTGCAGCAGAAAAGGACAGGCATCAGCAACTGGCAGCCCCTCTCCTGCTTCCTTTCAGCCCAGCAGGGACCTCAGAGTAATCCTGCTTTGACAACAGCTCCTCACAGTAGTGCTCAGAAACTATCATTCATCACAGGTCCTGTCGGCTCAGGTAGGGAAGAGGGGGGTGACTCAGCCGGAGCTCACCTGGAGGGGGAGTGCCCCTTCCCATAGGAGGGGGAGGGCCTCCGCGGCCTGGCGCATACTGAGTTGGGGCTCCTGCTATACTGGCAGTTGCAGCGGCTGCTGCAGCAGCAACCGTGCCTCGGCTCTGAGGGGTCATCACCTACAAAGGAAAAAGCAGTTCAGGCGGTCTGAACATGACGTCCCGCTCATCCTACCGCCATCCGTGCCCGCAAGGAGAGGAGAGCACTAAGAGGACTTATCGACCGCAAGCTGGCTGGGGCCAAAGCAGTGTTACATTCTCGAGGCAGCTCGACAGCCCGAGAGCAGTTCTGCCTACCTGTTGGGACGGTCCGCCAACTCCACGCACGGGACCGGCCAAACCTGC